AACAGAAACAGATTCTGAGGAAAGCCTTTACATGACTAAAGGTGTCTACATAAAAAACTAAAAATAGTTATTTATGTCTAAAACATGCATCATGTAAGAGTCCCATAAAAGCCTTGATGAAACAATAATTACTGCTTAGGTTGCCAAAAAAAGTTGATGTAAAGCAACTTAGCTTCAGCAGCTTCAGTGGAGCTGTGAGTATTTACCCTTGTAAGTACCTTGCTCACAGCAAGGTTTTCATTTTGGTACAGCATGTGGATGATAATTTTTTTTTTCTCCATCATGTTTAAAAAAATAGTAAAATCCTTAAAGCCGGTACATTATTTCAAGTCTCATGTTTTGATTCCTGTAACATGCCATTAGCCTTCCTCTTCTGCTTGGTAAGATAAGGAACATTTTCCATTAACCAAAACGCAAGGTAAGGCTGGCCTCTACCAATGATAATTGGTAAATATTGTTATAGAAAGGTTGTCAGCCTTTCCTAACTACAAAGCCAAATGCAATTCAAAAGCATTCAGCCTTCCCTGAGACAAGCCATCTTAACAAGAAAGCAATAACAGGCCCGAACAAAGAAGAGGTTTGCTGATAAAATGAAACCAAGCACGGTGCAGTTGCAGCGATACAAAATCAAGTGCCAGCTGGCAAAGACCCAACCGGTCTTTTACGTACACGCACGTCCGCGTGCACCTGCGTACACACTCGCAAGTCTGGAGAGGGTTGTGGTCTACGAAAGCTGGGCTCAGATGGTCTATAAGGGAGCAAGGCTGGCTAGGCACCCTGCCCTGGCAGCCGAGACCCACTGCAGAGTAACTGGGGTTAACAGCATGGAGCCAAGATCTTGAAGGACTACTATAACCCAACCTGCCCCCCCTCCCCGCCCCAAACCTGTGAAGCAAGGCATTAATATCCCCTTGCCTTCCCCCTCCCTTCTTTTAACAGATTGTACGTCGAGTTCAGAAAAACACCAGACACGCTTTACCAGGCCACCAGACGCTGAGTTGTTTCCATCCTGGAAAGGCGTCCCACCACGGCCCCACCGCCATGGTGCTACCACCAGCTCGGGAGACCTGGTGCACACCCTTCACTCTTCCCATGTCATGTACCTCTCCCAATGGAGAAATGCCCAAATGCAGAGCCCCAGCCCCTCTCGCCTGCCTCCCTTCATGGTTAAAGCACTTTTACTCTGCCCAATCTCCTTTACACACTTTCCACCTGTGACTGCTAAATTTGGATCTGGATTTCAATCCCTTACTAATCCGGATGCTTATACAGAAGCAAGAGGATTCAAGGGGGTTCTGGAGGTGTCCTGGTTTTGCTTTTAATGGTTGGTGCTTTAAGGACTTTTCAGAGCATCCTGCTGGGGCCAGTCTGCTCTGGTACACCTCATCTCCAGCCAAGCTGCTCCTGACTTCACCGATGAAAGCCTTTTGTCTTGCCACCCAGACCTGGTTCAGTTCAAATCTCCTTTGAAAGACACACTCTCACCCCTCACACTCGTAACCCTGGTCCCTGCAACCCTCACAGTCCAACTTCTGATCCCTGGCTGTGCCAGCTGTACCTGGCCATCTCCAGGTACTCCTTCGGGGCCAAAATAAGGAAGCGGTCCACTCCAGAAACACTGTGGAAGAGAAACTGAGAACAAACCCGGGGGATTCTGTCCTACTGGTAAGCACAGCAAAACCACAAAATTTCTATATTGTAAGGAAACTTCACAGTGTCCTTTTCTTTATCATTTTTCAGCTGACTCCAGCAGCTCCTCCCCATACTCCTCTTTCATCTGTGCCTTTATAATTACCAGCCTACAAAGCACCGCCCTGTCTCAGGCTGCTGAATAAAAGAAGTAAACTTTGATTTCTGTATCTAAGCTCCCCAATCTTCCCAGGATGTGACGGATCATTACTCCAGCTCAGAGATTGCCTGGTCTGAAATCACTGCCCATGACTCCCACTGCGGCCAGCCTGGGTCCTCTCCAAGGTCAGGTCTGGTTTCCAGACTTTCGAGATCGTCCTGGCAGGCAGATACAGCCTTGCAGCTTTGAATCCCCACGTTTTAAAGGGCATTTAGGTTCACCCTAAAAATACTGCAGCATAACTTAACCACCTGTAAATATTAAATGCTGCCTGCTAATTGACAGGTACAATATTTACTGAGGGTTACATACCAGCAAACAGCCTGTCAGATTTGTTTATACATAGCAATAGCAATGCCAAGTGCACAGGAGAGACAGACCAAGAACTGGGAGATGAAAGCAAGCCTGAAGAAGGGGACTGGCACACGCACACAAACCAGTAACACGGGAATCTCCTGGCAGGTTTGCTTGACAAACAGTATTCGTCTGGCCGCTCGTTTCACAACTCAGCACTGCTGTTGTTAGCAGCGTGCTGCGGGAAAACGGGAGAACCACCCCACGCTCGTGGGTGAGGAGGCACCCTGAAAGCAAACAACACTGAAGACACGTGGATGCCTCAAAAGCACTCCCCGAGCAACACCCCTAAGGCATCAGCCATGAGCTGGCTCCTGGGTTCAGTACAGCAGCGGCTGAAGACATGCAGCTTCGACCCAACCTCTTCTCCTCTGTTCTCGTTACGACAACTTCAAGCTAACTTTCTGGACTCCATATTCCAACTTCAGTAACTCTCCAATCTGCGTCCTGGGGCAGGGGAGAGGGAAGGAGCGGTGGGGAGGGCCAAGGCGGTGGGGAGGACCAGCGAGCCAGCCTGCAGGCTGGCTCTCGTCCTCTCGAAGTGAATATAGTGCTCCCAAGGGCGTGGGGCTGACAGCCCTGGATATCCAATTAGTCAACGTGTGGAGGAGAAGGCGAGTGCGGGGCGGGCAGCGGCGATGGAGCTGCTTTCCCCATGGAGAGGGTGCCCTGCCAATGCACCCCGTCCCTGCTCGGGAGGAGATAACTCATCCCGCAGCTACGAGAGGTTTGGCTCGTGCTTTGAAGCCTGGAAGGAGGCTGCAACTTCTGACATGACGTCCTGGATGCTGTTTTCAAAAGGCTCCTGACGCAACTGGATCTCACATGCCTGAGCGCCGGGTCATGCGTTGAAAACGGAGCTGGAAGTGAGATTTGAGGCTCCCAAGTGTCTTTATTCCTTGCTTTTTTTTTTAATTTTAAAAAAATAGATTTTTAAACAGGACTCAAATAATTTTGAAAATTTTATTCACTGTCACTATTCAATACTTGTTAAGAAACTGAATTAAGCCATTTCTTAATCTGATAGCAGCTACCCCACAGATGCTAAAGTGATGGGCTCGTACAAGGCCCCCTCACCCTTAAAAAGCAAAGGATGAGCAAGGCATGCTATTCAGGCTCCAGCTATTCACATTTCTCCTCATCCAGATATCAGGAAAATGTAATTAATACTGACACATACAGAGGTCATATCTTTAAGCAAAAGCGAGGGGGGGGGGGGGATTAAAAGAAAGAGAGAGAAGCAATTTTACTGAAGGACTGTGCCTCCCAACAGGCTCCATGACTGATAAACCACAACTGAACAGATTATAGCTCTTGAATTTCAGTGACTCAACTATGCTTTTACGTTTTACAAAGCCACCTTGTATGTGCTTTGCATTAAAAATGTATTTATTGCTCACATAGATACATACAAGTTCTGAATTTAACAATTTACATCTCAGACCAAAAGGACTCAAAACATCAAGGTAACTCTAGCACAGGATGGCCCTGGATCAAGAGTTTCCTTTTTTTTTTTTTTTTGGGGGGGGGGGGGCTTTCCACTTCCTCAAAAACAAACTCTGATCATCTTCATCTATGACATGTGTTTAATTAATCTCCAGAACAGACTCAAAAAGTTTTTACATGGACCAGAGCTTTCAAAATACTGAAGGATTTATTCACTTAAAACTTTTAATGTTTTCTTTCAGAAAGACTGCAGTTATTGCAAGAACAGTACACAAACATCCTCCCCTTCCATTGCACCATGAAATCCAACATGTCTCACTGATGGGAAGAGCAGGTTTTCTCAATTATGCTTCTTTAAGACCAGGGGTTTTTAAAATTGGTTTTAGCCCCTCCAATGTACTTTAAGTTAGATTAGTTTAAGTTCACAACCACTATCACCACCACCCTGCAGTAGTATTGGGAAGCACTAATTCAGAAGACACGTTTAAACCCATGCTTTCCTCAACACAATTTAGTGATGAGATGTCCACACACACTGCTCTGTTACCGGCTTTGAAGCCTTAAAACCAAAACCAGCTGCTGCAGCAAGCCCCAAGCCCAAGAAAGCAGTGTTCATCTGTTTATACTATCAGTGTCTCTGGAAAGATATACAGGCAGCTCTTCTGGTGATAGATGCATATACTGAAACCTGATCAAGGCTCCGGTTATTTTTCTGCATCCAGCAATGCTGCAATTCTAGCCAGGCAACAAGCCCCAAGATCTCCATTAAGATGAAGAGAGAAGCAATGAAAGCCCCAATCCCACTGTCGTCCCAAACATTAACAAATCATCCATCTCATCAGCTCGGAACAAAATTCACAGTAACTTCCATGTGGTCCCCAAACACTGGCCAAACAAGTTTTGTAACACAAATAAATGCACTGTGGTCTAATGCATCAAAAAGGGAATGTTCGATTCCAATGTTAACGTGTGCTTTAAAGTGCTGTTGAGCTCAGACAGAGCTAAACAAGAAGCCCCAAAGGACAAAACATCTTCCACTGACACCTCCCCCCCTGGTGCCGTAAGGTCATCAGTTGTCTCCACAAAAGAAATCCTGACGCCAACCCAAGGTCAGAGATATAAGGACCTTCCCCTCCAAAACAGATGGAGCATGACAGAGATTTCTCACAATTATTATTTCACTCTCTAATCCTCCTGCCCCCCTGTTTTGGACCCCATCCCACCACTCAGTGCCCCCACAGCCTAGGTTGTGCACCCAGCGGCTGAAACCAGGGAAAACGCTTGAGAAATTCCTTTCGTTCACTTGCACGCCTGCTGCTTCCTTCTCCAGAAAAACCCAGTGCAAACGTACCTGGGTAGACTGGTCACCAATGTCTGGCACGCCGCCATCTGACAGCCGGCACCGGTATTGTCCCCCACTGCCCCGCAGCTGCTCCTCCCCATTGCTTTCTGCTTCAGAGGTCTCCGGCTGAGTAACCTCCACCTCCATCGGGGTGCAGTGCCCGTTCCCGTGGTCCGAGCCCGGCTTTTCTTTGCTGTCCTTGCTGCCCGGTGTTCTGGTGATGACCCCAAACTTCCTGGTCCTTTTCCCATTTTGAGCGGCTCTGTCGCCGGGTTCGGGACTAGGCTTGGCTTTGGGGTCGCAGCTGTTGCTGTTGTTGCCGTTGGAGGGAGGAAGAGGGGCTTTGCGCTTGATGCGGCGCAACATGATCAGGTAGACGAAGCCGCCATTCCAGCACTGCTCGGCCAAGTAACTGCAAGGGAAGGGATGCGCAGGAATTACCGACTGCTCGCCCTGCGGCACCCACCTCCCGCCCCGGCCCCCCTGCACGCTGCGCCCCACGGTGTCTGTGCACCCTCTCAGGCAGCTCATTACTGGGCGTGTGGGGACGTTAGGACACCTTGAGGCACTGGCAAATGCTCTCTTCCCTCAGTACTAAGAGGGAAATACAACCAGGAATAACACCAGGAGTAATAACAGCCTGACCAGCCATCCAGGCTGACGCCACCACAGCATAATACAACAACCACCCCAACCACCATGTTCCCAGCACCCCAACCTCCAGACACACAGCACAGCAACATGGAGAGGTGGAACAAGCAAAGCAAAGCAGACAGTGTTTCCAGTGGGGCATTAAAATAAAGAAATAATTTTTAAAAAAAATTAAAAATCAGGCAGGCTTCATTTGTGCAGCAGCCCATAGAGCATTTGCATCTGAAATGAGCCTCCTTAGTGAAACTAATCTTCTGCTTTGGCATACGTACATGCTTTGAAGGCCCAAGGGGAAAAAAAAAAAATCAGCCATGGGGGCAAGCAGGCGTAGCACCAATGGCCTCAGTACAGCAAAGCTATAAGATAGCTCAGCTTCCGTAAAGGGACATGGAAATAAGGTGGGTTTCCTTTACAGCAAGCGTATTCCTGTCAAAGCAAGAGCCAAGTCATCTCAGCTGTGCAAGGAGCAGCCACCAGGTTCTCGTACCAGAGCAAAGCATCGCCTTCCCTCCCAAAGTCTCTGGACATGCCTTGAAGGAACTGACATTTCTGCTTCAAGCAAATACTCTATGTCCTTACAGAAACTGCACCCACTGATGCAAAAGGGAAATCTAACTTCATGCCTCTTTTGGGAAAGGATATACCTCAACCCAAATTCTTAAAATATTTGGGTTCTGAGCCAAGGGTGTAACCAACTGAGAGTACAAACAAGCTGGAATTTGTACTTAGCAGGTTTGTATGTGCCCTTTCACACTAATTTAAGCCCCCCAAACATATTGCCTTTCTCACTAGTGAAAGCGGCAAGAATTTCCCAGAGCATCAAATAAGCCTCTGCTGCAGCTGCAATGAACTATTCAGTAATACAAAGCAGTTGGTGAACCCACAGTGATCAGAGGAGACGAGAAACTACGTGTGGAGTTGAACCGTAGAAGATCCTAAGAGAAAATAACACAGCACTTGCGGTTGAGAGAGGAGGAGTGACTCGAGAGTCTTCCAGCCTCTTCTTCCTCCCCGGTGCTTGTAAGCTGATTTTCCCCTTCCCTTTCTTAAAAGTTGTTTGGCCTTAAATACAGCCCTGCAAAGTTACTGCTGCACAGAGGTGACTTAATGGCAAAACAGGAAAAGCGGCTATGATAACCCCTGAAGCAAACTTCTGTACGGAGTGAGGAAAGCACTCTCAATTACTCAAAAGTAATCTGGACCAGCCTGGCAGTGGCTGGAAACAACACCATGGGTGTGTGTTTCTGTCCAGGGACATGAGCTGGTAGTTTCAGTTCACTTCTGCCCAAAGCTTAGATGTCCCCCCCAGACAACGTTGGCATTCCAATCACTTATATTTAATTAGGAAGACCGATGCCCAAACAAATATGGCAACTACATAACCTTAAAAGCAGCCTTGGAGCAACAGAGGGGAAGAAATCTGTTGGCTGTCCCAAATTTCCCCAACGAATGTAAGCCGGACTCCCAACTCCCTGGATGATCCACTCAGCAGATTTCATCAGTCAAGTCTTTTTTTTTAAAAAAACATTATTTAAATCCAAACCACCTTTTTAAAAACGGCTGAAAGCAGACAGCCAGCGAGCCCCACTGGTTGGAAAGTCTCTGTAGTGGGGCTCAGCCGTCTGGGTGGCCACGAGGTGACACTCGGCTCGGCTCAGGGAGGCACCGAGGGCTGGCAGGACCTGAAGGGTTAGCCTAAAAAAAATTCCAGAACTAAGATGGAAGTATTTTTGATTATCAAGTTAAAAGAAAAATTCTTTTAATCAACAGAAAAGGGGCAGTTTTGTTCCAGAAACAATATGGGCTGCCTGTTTTTCACATTTATCTTTCAACTCAAATTTCAAGGCAGCCAGTAAAGTTGATTAAAATTCATGACTTTTGCTTGCAGCAATACCACTGCACTCTGATCCATCATACATAAGCCTGATAGCATTGCTTCTCCTGGCACATGGAAACAGAAAAGCAGCTCCTCTTCCCATAGACCTGTGGCTTACATGGCTGCTTCCCACCCTGTTTTTATGCAGAGTCAGTTCTGCCTGACTTGTTCTTCTGCAGGTGCACGTATGTTGGGGTTTCTTAAAAACACCGATCTCTATCTCTGAACTAATCACTGATGTATTTTTGAGTGCCAGTAACCAAGTGCACGCATTAATCAACTAATTGATTTAGGAACGAAGGGGAATGAGCGGGATCTTAGCATATGTCCAAATAAAGCAACTTTATAGAGGCAAAAATAATTTACTACTTCACCTCCATTTGTAGCACATTAATTCTGTTCATAAAGTCTAAAACTATGAAAAGGGAAGAAAGAAGGGTGGGTTGTTTTCTATCCACTGTCCAGAGACAACCATCCCTACGCTCTGGAGCAGGGTTACAGCGAGCGGCAATAGATGCAGCTGCACTGAAGTCAGCAGAGCTATGTTGATTTACTCCATATGTTGAGATGGCCTGCACGTTCCAGGCGTGCAGCCTGTAGTAACTCACAGGTTTATGTTTTCTTGAGTACTTCTCAGCAGTTCAAAGCACACAATAAGTTTCCATGAAAAAAAGAGAAATGTCTTCTCTGGGCCAGTGAGTGTGGCAGCAAGGCATCGCATACACCAAACCACATCAAGGTAAGTCCAGCTGGTACCAGTGATCTCAGAGTTTGTTTCAAATCAAAGACCAGGCATCCCACATTGGAAAACCAGTACTCGTGTAACACCAAGCTCATGCGACAAGATAGGAATCTAATATACCAAGAATCTGTGGTCATTTACTGTATTGCCCTCCCAAGACAGGGCTGTTAATCAAGGATCCTGAGCCACCTTTAAGTTGTGCTAAGTACACGCTGCCTGCTTAGCTGGCTTCCTTTTCCTTTGCCACTTCTTCCCCTGTTTAAGTAAGAAGCCAAAAAGCCCCACTGAAGCACAGCAAGCTCTCAACATGGGAGAAAAGACAGGAAAGTGTCGTAAATGAGTGAGAACCTTCAGATTTTTAATTACCTTCTATCAATCCAGGAGCATCCCATGCCAGAAGGGAGTAATGGGATGGATTCAATAAAATGTAATTATACAGCCTCTAGACTGCAGAACACTGCAAAAGCTAGACAGGACCCAAAATCCCACTTCTCAGGGAGGGGGTGGAGGTGGTGTGTTAATGTGCGCAACACAGACAAGCCTTTTTTTAGATTTGGTCCCTGCAGAGCACTCACAGAGATTTGAGCAATCAATACACCAACGTGTCTCGTGCAGGGCAGGATCAGAGCTGATGAGCATACGGCTCTCGGCACAGATGTGAGGAATCAGCTGCAACCTCCAAGTTGTCACTTACTTTGAACATGGTCTTCAGCTTGGATGGAGAAGGTGCACGGAGCAAAAATATTCCTAATGCAGCCTCGATTGATCCAAATTTATTAAAAACTGAGACTCTAAAACTTCCTGTTCCCCGTTTTGGTTGGCAGGGGATGGACTAGGATTTGGTGAAAGCCCTGGATCTCATGCACCGGCTTAGAAACCTTGGCCAGCGAATCCTAGTGCCAGCGGATGATGACATGTGACAAATCCTATTATCACTGACTTTAAGAATGCAAGAGGTTTTACCAGCTGTTCATACATCTATTAATATTAGTTACCAAAACAAAACATTTTACCAGCGAAACACCCACCCACACTTTCTGTATGTGGCAGTCTTTGCAAGGTAGTGTCAAGTCCCCTTGGCACAGCTGGGACTCCCTTCAGACACTGCAGCATCCTCAGGCAGGGTCTAAACATCACTGAAACACCGCCTTGGAAAGGTTTCCCCACTGTCGTGCTCAGAGGGAAGGACCACCCAGCTGCTCCTGCTGCTTTGATCTTACCCTGGCACCAGCTCTGGTAAAACCCCAGCCTGTATAAAACACCAGCCTTAAGCAGTGGGGGCAGACTTGTTCTCCTCCGTAGGATAGAAGCCATGAAAATGTTAATCCTAAAAGCCAGGGGAAAATTATTTTACACTTGAAACAGCACTGGAAAGTTACCTCTTGCAAAGCTCAACCACAGGTTGGAAAATGCAACTGATGGCTGGTATCAGGGAGCATTTAATATTCTTTTTTTTATCACAGCTATGAAGAGACGGACACATCCGCTTCTTTTGGAGACTGAGTTACGCAGCCAAATCCCATTTCTCCCCTACACAGCTGAACTGATTGCTGCGATCATAAAAACTGATAAACTCACTGGGTTTATTCCAAGTTCCTCGGCACGTGTGTAAAGTGCCAGACTCGGAAATGGTGTCTTAGAGTAAGCCAGTAATTTTTTCATTTTTATATATATATGTTTTTGTGTGTGTGTATAAATATAAAGGTTTACAGACTTGACAAGAGCATGCTGTGACAAGCTCTCTGTCATAACCCATCTCGCTTGAACAAATACAGATGGCCGCACTGAGCTGCAGAAAAACCAGAGCATACCCAGCAGCCATAAGAAAGCATCTGGATCCACTTTAGGATCAGAAACATTGAAGAAGTATGTTTATTTTACACTAATAATACTATTTAGCATTTCTCCAGAACCTTTCATCCTGATAGATCAGGAAGTGCTTTGGAAATGATACACACAGAGCATCACTGAAATCCCAGTCCGTCGTGCAGCTCACCAGGACACGGAGAAGACACCTCAGCCATGACAACCGCTTTCAGAGCCCCCGCCTAGCCTCCCCAGGACCTGTAATGTCCTTAGCAAGACAGACAGACCACCAATTTTCATGTTCTTCTCTGAAAGACTCTGGCATGGTAAAACGTCT